TTCTCTTTCCCCAGCTTCCAATTGCTACTTGATTACTATTTTCATCTCGTAATCCCAGAGAAAGAGCTGGGGATTTAAAACATATTATAGCAACATTTGTAGAACTTGCATGTAAGTAGAAAAGCGGTCACAGGGAAGACTTCAGAGGAATTACTCGAAACTTGGTCTGTGTGCACTGCTGGAATGCCTAATGCTCCTCCAACAAAGTTCCAGTTTAGTTTTACAAGCATGGCAGCCTTTGCACATTAGCACATGTTATGTGAAACACCACCCCACTTTCCCAAAAATAGCAGCTCTAATGAGTTTCATGGTAGTTGTCCTGCTGATCAAACATGGGTTTATGAGCAATATAAGGAATTGATAGGGTGCCTGAGCCCATGCATCAGCCCAAGTGCAGGCACACTGCAGAACGGTTGCTGCCCACACAGGCACTGTGTGCTGGCTAATGAACAGGGAGGCACTAATACAGTCATATCACAGTTAATTAATAAGTTCAGATGAAGTAGTAACAACCTTTTGATATTGTTCAACAAATCTTTCAAAAATGTAGTAATCTGGAACACTTTTTAATTGAAAAACAGAAGCTAAGACTCACTGGTACACAGATGACCAAGGTTAACCCTCTGTCCTCCGGCAGACATACAAGAGACAGAAAGAAAGAGATAAAGAGATAGATTGCTTTCCATGCTCTCCCTTCTTCCACTAAATGCACACAAGCCCGTCCAGAAACCAGCAGTAAGCCTGGGCTCCACCTGAGGGCATCATCTTGACACAAGGACACACATTAGGTTTATATGCAGTACTCAACCCCTAAATGGGAATACTAATACTTATCTTCTATTCTTTAAGGCTCCTGTAACAGAGCACAGGAGCTGGGCAAAACAATATGGCTCATCAGGAGATACCAATAATTGGTACAACTGGAACTTTGAGAGCCTAAAGATAAATTTCTCTGGCAAAGTGGATCGCATTGCTTCTGTGGAAGTATGAAAATCGGTCAACATGCTGTAATCCCAAGTCCTAACATATCATCAGACATATAGCACTCTTCTATTAAAAATATCTCTAATTTTCTAAGTGACAAGAAACACACACACAACCAGAGAGAGAAGTGGAATGACAAAAAAGTCACCTTGGTCCATGACCAGGGTGAAGGCACACGGCCATAGCCTGTAATGCAACTAAGAGATAATTGTGATTACAGCAGAAATATCCCACACACACACCTGTAAATCCAAGAGCTTTTATGCCACAGAGTCCAACATACTGCCATCATGGAAGGAAAGAGTTGAAGAGTTTTCACATATGACAATTATACAAGAAGGAGTGCCCCATCAAGATACCCAGGCAGTCTGTAAATCACTCCCTGCCTACAGCTGCAGGGCCTTTGAAGCACTAGGTTGCTGGCCTTGAGCTGAGTGGATTGAATATACAGCCTAAGTTAGATACGACTGACAAGAGTTTAAACTGGGCAAACCTACCACAGTAGGACAAAGAAGCATTGCCTGTAATATACAGTTTTTAAGCTCTCCCCACCACCCAAAGGAGCTCAGCAAGATAAACTACTGTGTTCCCATCAACTTCCCCCTACAAGATCTATTTCCCAGGAGGCAGGAACTAGGCCTAGTTGCTATAATCACATCCCAGTTCATAAGATCTTACCCTCCTTTCTGGGAGCACATTTACCCTAGTATGCATTTGCTCAGCCTCTCACTATCACACATACAATTAAGTTCAGCTTCTAAAGGTCCTACCTGTAATTGGAGCCAGCTGCAACCTTTCTGACACATGCTAATTGTCAGTAATGATTTAAGTGCAGTCAATTCACATGCTGCAATTGTTTTAAATAAAGGAATCTCTCCTACCTTTTCCCTGAGAAAAATCTGTTAATCTTTGCTGCTGACTTATCAAATCCTCCAGTCACCTGTTTGCCATCATTTTCATGAGCTGATAACGTGTTTATTAGAGCCATAATATGCAGGTGGAAGCATAAAGGTCTCATTTGGTGGAGTATGAATTCTGTCTCATACATCTGTATGGAAAAGCTTGGTTTCACCCTTTAGCTGTGCCTTAGAAAAGAATAAGCTCCAAAATAGTATCTTTTATTCTTTTCAAATGAAATATTAGTTCTCTTAAGCTAAGTACATATCTCAAAATACCATTTGGATGCACATGACAGGTTGGTTTTTGTTAAGCGCCAGATATCATCACTGCCTATGGTAAATCTATCTAGCCTTAGTTAATTTCCATTTAATTGTATTCTCCTTTTAATTATTTTTCATATATAAAAGAAAGTTCTACAAAATAATACAATGCCATGTGGATTCTATAAGGCTGATTTAAGAGTGCTTCCCACAAACTATTTTAGTTTCCTGCAGAAGACCTGACCTGTGGTACTGCAGACAATACACTTCTGGCAGAATAAACCCAGTGTATATTCACAACTTTTGCTTTCATTTCCATAGTGTTTGGGGATTTTTTAGTGGATTATATATTTTAGGGGTGGAAGTGTCTGATTGTTTTTTAAGGCATGCTAGGGAAACTAGGCTACAGTCTGTGCACTGGGTTTATCAGTCTACTTTTTCCACCACTGAGTTACTCAGAGTGGACAACCAGATAGCAAATGGATGTTCTGCTGCAGCTGAGTTCACTGGCCCTTTGTCTGGCTTATGTGTGTCTTATAGTGAATACACTTAGCTCCTGAGGCAGCATATGCTAAAATCAAGCTTTAAATAGGGTCTATCCCAGGTATCAGCCACCTCCAGAAAGACATTCATAACCCTTGCCTCACCTGTGAGATTCCACAGGAGCAAAAAAAATGTATAGATCAGAATTGAAGATGTTCTGCCAAATGTTTTTAACTATCTAAAAGAGAAAAAGTAAAAAAAGTATTAATTAGCCACTCAAGGAATCAAGCAGATTCTTTCATATGAAAAAAGAAGCCTGAATCAAAAGAGAAAATGTTTAAGAAAGGAAAAAACGCTGTAAACAAGAAGCAAAATGAAAATCGAAATTATGTTTGGAACAAACCTTCCAAGTATAAGAGGAGTTTAATCAGAGTTAGGATTTCTTGAATTGGTTCTTGAAAATATAAAGTAGGAATCTAATTCTAGGACAGTATGTGGTTTACTATAAAACAAATCTAGCATATAATAATTTCCTTCCACAATTCCCATGACTTGTGGCACAGACCCAAACCCTCTTCCATGATTCACGTCCAAACCTCCCAGGAGAGATGTGACGGCCAGATTGTTAGTTTTACTGTATGAGTAGTTTGGGTGAAATGACAAATGCTAGCACTCAGTCATACTGTGGAGAAGCAATGACCACAGTTATGAGCAAAGGGCAGAGCTCCACTGGCAGTTTATTATTACATATGCATAAAAAAGTTGTGTTTTTTTTAAGGTAAATAACATTTTCCTACCTAACTAGCCAGTCCTCAGGGACCATTTGTTAGTCATTCCACAGCATGAGCCAATTCTCTTTTCCAGAGAGGAGAACAGAATGTCTCAGCAGATCCAGCAGTCTACCGGGCTGATGTTCCGAGGCGCCTTACAACTCCTAAAGTCTGCTTCTATGCCCAGTAATCTCCTGAATCTGCATTTTACACAAACTCTGAGCCAGTGCTGACCATGCCCAGACTAACACCTCCTGGAATAGCCTTCCCTACCGCTGAAAGCCTTGCCAGAGTAAATAATGTACCAGTTTGCTGATGCAGCCTATTCCAGAACTCCTCCTAGCTTTAACCTTTCCAAATAGTCCCTAAATGTAAAATACAGCCTTAATCTACACCTCTGATTCAATCAGATTATTCATCCCAAATTTTATGTTTGCTGTTAACTACCCCCTTTTTCTTCCTGTTTGCAGATTAATTACAGATCAATCCATTAAAACATGCAGAGAAGCAAGTCCCAGCCTCATGGTCTTTGCTCACAACTCATTGCTCCTGATACAAGACTGATCAGTTTTATTTCCTCCTTGTCCCTGACTACTTAGCTGAAATTCTTGAACTGAGGAGAATACTGACAAGTATCAAACAATGCATGCACCTCTGACACAGCATTGCAGAAAAAAAAGGCATTTTTACTAATATTTGTAAGCATTCCAGATTCACCAGTTTTTCTAAAAATACCTTGTAGATATCCCAGTATTAGAAAATGAAAAATAATTGGAGAATATAAAGAAAAAAAAATGAAGAAAGAAATTTAAAAAACCCTTGTAACCTTTGACTGTAAAAGCTCTAATTGTAGAGATCATATTATACAGTTAGTTCCATATAACCACTTCACCTAAAACTTGTGGCAGTTAGAGATAATTCAACAGAGGAAAGCAGAAAGGCAGAGGTCTGCCTCAAAGGGCCAACAACATCCTTTTTCTTCTCTCAGAGCAGTTCCTACTTCATGTGTGGTGTTCCACATGCCCATTGGACCACGAGCTCTAAGTAGGAGCACTAAGCCAGTTATTCCTGTTTTTGAAGGGGAAGTGAGGGGAGAGACAGGAGGAGGCGAAAATGGTGGTGACTGCTGGAAAAGCAGAATTTGAAAATCAAGATTTCCCAACTGAGATTAGAAGAAAAGATGACTGAAAAATGAACTATGTCTCCTTGGATATTTTCCGACGCTTCCCAAAATGTATCTAAGCAGCACTGGCCTTATCAGATAGAGGCACTGAGAGATGGATGTAAGCCAGCTGACAGCCGTGTGAGCAAAGGAGGGCAAAGGACAGGCAACATGAAAGTTCAGGGTGCTGCAGAGCAGGGGAAAGCATATGCTGCTATTTCCCAGGCTGCCCCTTAAGCATGGAGAAAGGAGAGGAATACCACAGAAACAAAGCATGCCATGCCTGAACCCCTGGGTAATAAACATTTAAGGACAGGGTAGAAAATAATTGCTTAGAGCCATTACAAACCCAGCAGTACTGAGTTCAGCCTGGGCCAAGGCACTCCAGCCCAGTTTGCCAAACTTGGAAGTGGCTCCATACAAACCTAAGCAGCCTCTTACCTTCCTATCTGATGGGCTCTTAATGCAGTTCCTCCATCTCCCACGTGTGAACAGTTGTAATGTTATGTTCTTACTTGCTGTAGGATACCAGAGCTGTAATAACAGTGGAAAGGCTGGAGAGAAATGAGGACAAGAACCTAGGATTAAAGAAAAATTTATTAATTGTCATTAATAAAAAAACTAAACAGAGTTGCTAGTCTCTGTATTTATCATATGAACTTCCCTTGAAAACAAACAAGCCCTAGTCCCCTGAGGACTTTTCCAACAGTCACTGAAGATATCTAATGAGGCAATATTTAAGAGACCTAATTATAAGAAAAAATAAACCTTGATAACCATCTTATCCCACATACAGCTCAAATATGACTCAGAGTTTATTTTAATAATCCTCTCAGGTTAACACAACACAGTCCAAGCTACACTGTAGCAATGCAGCCTCTGAGAGATGATGAGAGATGATGAAGAGGAGCTAGGAAGTCACCCACAACAGGATGCCTGACCAAACAGAGGTGAAAGACCAGAGATATGCTATGGAGGGCTGCAAATAGCAGCCTTGAGAAAGCAGAGCTTTGCATTGCAAACTCATATCATTATATCAATTTTGGCCACTTTGCTCTGATCACCTGTGTCAACAAGGCATTTCCTCTGTTCTGTACCTTGAGCCACATTGCTGCACCTGCCCTTGAGGGAGGAGTTATTGGATTAACCCAGCTTCCTCTTATCTGTGTTTACTCACCAAAATTACTCTGCAGAGAAAACTCCCTGAATCGTCCCAGAGCTGCAGTTTCACTCATATGCAAAAACTCAGATGTAGCATTAAACATGCAGAGCTTAAAAAAAAAATAAAAAAAATTAGAAAAAAAAGTTACCTCATTGTGAGTAACCACCACAAGCCAAGCTGGGTGAAGTCACTGGGGATTTTTCTTTCCAGCACGCCCACACCACTGGGACTCTTTCAGAGGGACAGACACCTGCAGTGCTGCTGGGCAAAGGCAAACCTTTTTTCCCCACTTTCCCTGAACCGGGGGAGAAGAAAGTGGGTAACCACCAGAAGAAACAAGGAAACAGGTTCAGACATGTTAATTTTGCTGCTTGTGTTGGGCCAGTAGCAAAAAAAAAAAAAAAAAAAAAGTGGAGTCATAAGGAATTCTGCTTGCTAACACTAGTGTTGGCTTTGCTCCAAACCCATGACCCTTACAACATGTCGCTATTGGATTGCTGGGCAAGCTGCTAGAGTCACTGAAGCAAGAGAGAGAAATCCCCAGATTTCCTACTGTGTGTAATTCTGCACAGTGTGAGCTAACCATAACCCCCTGAGATACCTCTTGGTTTTAGTCTCAAAATGGCCTCAAAAAAAGATACAAACACAAAAGAAAATTGGAACTACACAATATTTATCTTTAAAGCAGGTAAATTACAATAACCAAAGACAATAGACTTCAGCAAAACTTTGTCACTTAAAACAGCCTTCCAATCCTAAACTGGGAATAAAATCTCAGAACTGAATGCCCAATTGCTGAGATGGAGTGAGATACAGCTCCTAATGAGTCTTCCTACTGAACAATCGGCTTCTTCAAGGTGAGCAGAGATTTCAACTGAAGGATAAACAGGAAACAGTTAATGACAACCTTAAAAGGTTAGATAAGGAAACAGGTTCCAAAGTACCTTATATTTATCTACTTGGCTTTCACCTGCAGATACTTGTCACCACTTACTGCTTCCTCTGAAGGGCAACAATGACCCACCATACTACTTACAGAAGACTTCACAGTAAGTCATTTGTGTCAAAGAACTGTAAACTCATATCTACTTGGGAAAATTTGAAAATATTCTCCTTAAAGGCAAAGGAAACAGGCTACTTCTCTCACTTGTAAATGGTAATTTGCCTCTGCTGAGACCATTCTCTAATAATATAAGCCTGTACTTAGTCAAAACCAGTGACTTGCATGTTAAACCCAGGAATCCCAAAGCTACTCCTTCAGCACATCTGCTGAACCTTTAACATACTGTTTTCTAAGGAACTGCATTTTTTCACAGCATCCTGAAGCTCGGGAAGCTCTCCTCATGACATCAGGGCCAATTCAAAATTCAATGAAGACAAAACATACCGATGTAACTGATGCAAGTTAAAGTTGGATCTTGCCGTTTTCTAAGTCCTTGTGCCATTTCTGCAGACAGACAAGCAAATCCTGGTCAAAAACAGCCTATACCCACAATTATGCCAAACTGCAGTTTCAAAGAAATTGCCACCATTTTGCAAAAGTGAGAGGGAGAGTAGGGTATCAGCACACTGAAATATTTTCCTTGCCTATCTTTCTAAGTACTTATAGCAGTGCTTCTGAAGTCCCCTTCTTCTGTCAAGTGGAAAATTTCTGAGATTCCAAAGGCCCACATGTGACTTGGCTAGAAAAATGCAAGGCCCAACCTTTTAGTACACAGGCCACCCACATGAACAGATCACTCACAGGACCTGGGATAAGAAGTCTGAACTCTCAAATAAATCAAGAGTTTGACCTTGGGTGGGTTTAGTAGAGCTTAGAATCAAATCTAGGGAGTCAAACACACATGAGTACTGTGGCCCTTTGCTGCTACAGCTCCCTGATAGGAGAAGACAATGATCAATGTTGAAGAATAACTCAGTTAACAGGAAGGTAGAGTGCTGACAGAGGTATATTGGAATACTAGACATTTTAAGTTGTAGGGAAGAAGAGATGGGAAAATACAATTTCTCACCACAGGAAGGAAAATTAGGACAGAAATTAAAAAGAGTAATTGACAAATAGCACTCTCAAATACAACCTGCTAAGCTGAGAGGACCTCCATACTTACAAGATAGAATGTATCTAAGGTGTTGTGATTACTTGGTACCACATCATCTTCTGGTTTTTTGTGAGTTTACATAGCTGCAAGACAATAATTTTCCCCAATAAAATCATTCAGCAAGCAGGTTTCTAGTGATTCACTTGACTTCTAAAATAAACACTATCACAGCTGATTATAAGCACTTACCCGTGCTGCAACTGCTGTCATGTTCAGATACACAGGAGTATAACACTACCTTCAATAACAACACCAGAAAAATGACATTCATTTTCTAAGTCAAGCAAGGTCTTACTTTCAGCTTGAGGGCATTCAGCTGTCTGCCTGTAATATGGGAACTTTTCAATGTCATCTCCAGGCAAGCCCAATGTTCAGGAAAAGTTCTACAAATCAAAGCATAGACCATATGATTTTGATGACAACCCGCTCACCCAAAGAGAAAAGTGCAGGATGCATTCAATCCCCTGCCTCTCCCCAGTCAAACCAATACCTTTATTTCCCCCTGCAATGGTTTATATACTGAAAAGAAAAATAACAATGGCTATTAACCATCTGCTTCTCACCCCATTATAGCTAAAATGTGGTCAACAGAATAATTTACTTCTTTTTGCTCTGCCTGGGAGATAAGACTGGTGGGAAGGAAAATTATATTCCCAGCTCCTAGCACAGGAACAAATAAGAGACCTTCAGCAAATGAGAGTGAGATGAGAGAGAGAGATAAGGAGGCCCCTATTTTCTGGTAGAGATGGAAGTGGGGATATGCCAAGCACAAGAAGGCAAACCTGCAACCAGAAGGAATGTTTGAAGAAGCAGTAGATGGGAGAGGAGCCTGGAGAGACCCCCAGGGGAAAAAGATGGTGCAGGGAGGTCTCAGTGCCATATTCAGGGCTGCAGAATACACACCACATGGTGATTTTCAATATTATTACAGTTTTCTGAAACTAGTTAACAGGGTCCCCCTGACAGCCTGAGAAGTGTTTTATGAGACAGATTTGGTGAAGCGAGTTGAAATAAACTCACAAGAGATGCTGGACTTCCTCTGAGTCATGAGGAGCACTAGAGAGGCAAAAAGAGACGGGTTAGGCAAAGGTACAAACTGACTGTCACACCTGGGGACAGGCAAGGAGCACTGTGTTGGCCTGCACGTACACTGAGGGCTGGTGCCTGCTGATAAAGAAGTAGCATTTTTACCTCAGGGTAGCCAACATGCAAGTTGAGGTAAAATAACAGTGACAATGAGGCACTACAAGTTTTACCATGAGGTGACTTGCCAAGATGAGTATTGTACCCTGCCTGGGGTTGACCTGAGGGAGTTTACCTCATGGCAAAACTAATGTGTATTGCCTTTGCTGAGATTTCTTATTCAGACAGTTGACATGTACCTTTGTTACCCTGAGGAAAAAACATGCAGGTTTTTCTGACAGTGAAAATATGATGATTCACATCTTGGTGCCCTGTTCAAGAAACTGAAACCATTTTGCATTTGCTCTGGGTGTCATTAGTAATTTTTCTTCACTTACTTTCACTTTAAAGCATATAATTTGACCAATACACAGATGCATATGCTCACCAGACAGGCCTCTGCAAATTTTTCAAAGAATTTTTTCATATACTGCAGATGTAATTCACTTTTCATTTCTGTACAGGGCCATGTTTCACCATGTCATTTTCTTGCAAACAGTTAAGAGGAAATTAACACGACACAAATTAAATTTTTAACCAAAATCACTCTGGAGGAATAACCCATCTTCTTCTTTTAATTAAAATAAACCTTATTGTTCAGCATTTAAAAAAAGAATTGAAAGTCAACACACAGGTGAAAACCCTTTCATGCATACATAACTCATTATTCTGCTCATGTGCCAGTATCACAACACACCAAATAAATACATATTAAACTTTCCACAGGCATTAATTATTGAGAGGAAAACTAAATTCTTGCATGAGTATTATTAAAACATTATCAGAAGTTTCCACACTAAACTCACTGGGGATCAGTTTCACACTCCTTGCATCCCTCAATACATATGCTGGGCAATAAGTGTAAGCAATTTAGGGTAGAGATAGCTTTCCTTGTTTAGAAAATGGTCAGTACTGTATATAATTTCACTCCTACTTCACTGTAAACAATGATCAGTGACAATTAATAACAATCTTAATGGTTTATAAATCCTTTATAAAGGATTTTAGAGAAAGGTCTTTTAATTAAAGTAATCTTGGCCTCTCTACAGAAATATAGCATAGGAATTGGATTGTTTTTAATGTGCCTCCTTCAATCAGGCAAGATTGAACAGGCTGCTCAAGTTTTCTCTTACCCTCTTCCACACTCTCCAACCCAGTAAAATGACCTTTCCCAATCCATGGTACCATGAGCAGCCAGCAGATGGACACAACTGGTAGATGCTCTCCCATTACAAAATTTTACAAGGCTGTGCATCTGCACACAGCAGTCAGAAACACGTGGTGTGCCTGCATTAAGCATTTTGTACTCAGTGGTAGATAAGCTCTCAGCTGCTACCCCTGGCATTTCTCACCAGGACAAGAGAATAAATCTGCAGGCACATCCTGGCCAAGATCTGACGTCTCACATCTGCCCTGCACCACCATTTCGGGCGCCTCTGCCCTTTGCAGGATCACATCAGGACTTCGAGAATGTGGGAGTCCTATGCAGCTACATCAGTCTCCAGGAAGCTGGGCCAAATATCAGGCAGGAGTCAGGCAGGCACACATGAACATCTAGCTTTGGGTTAGATACTCCTCTCAACCCTCTCAAAAGACTAAAGCTTCCCAGGCTCCCAGCTACACGAACACTGGATGTCTGTGTAGAAATGGTTCTGTAGTCACAACAACTGCAGTGATAACAAACACACAGGCATAAAAAACACCTTCTTATCCATCTCCCAGAGCACTTCAAAGGTCAGAAGTGTTTTTCCATCTGATTCATTTGTTTTTGCTGTAGGACAAACTTATTGATTACGTAGTTCTTCCAAGTTGGAATATGCAAAGACAGTATCAGCAACCAATGCATTATAAGATTGGGTGTCTTCTATTTCAGAGGTTTGGGTCATGCTTCCAACCTTTATTGTACAGATAGAAATATTGAAAATTAGTATCCTAGTGAAAGCCAAGATTCTCATTGCCATTACCTTCATTCAGGAGCTAGGAAAATGTCAAATATTACAAGAATCAAAGTGCAAATCACAAGGGAAAACAATCAACAATCCAAAGGAAGACCAAATCTGCCATGCCACACCAGGCCAACCACTCATGTCCAGTATCCCACTCCTAGCAGAAGCATTTAATCACTGCCTCAGATTTTGAGAAAGACAATAACCCCATAATGCACCTGACCAATTACAAAATGCTGTATATGGATAAGGGAAAATCCTTCCTGATCCCTACAGAGACTAGCCAATGTGCTCAAATATGAGATTTAATTAAGCCTGTATTATTACTTCAAATGTTACAACTGTTCATAACGTTTTCTAGGCCCTTTTCAATCCAACATGGCATTCACATTTACAGCCTCCTGTGGCTCAGAAGTCCACCAGCTCAACCTCACGCTGCGAGGCACCTCCTGTGGATGAATAAAATTTACTGGCCCTTTTGCCTCATTTTCTTAATACAACACCATGCCAGGCAGAAATCTATTGCTTTTTTGATGATGCTGCCCACCTCAGGCAGTCACCTACAAGTCCACGTGGATGTTGGCTGGATAAGAGAGTAGGGAGGTTGAGTTAAGGAAAGGAAATAAATCATTGAAAAGGTGTATCAGGACTAGCAGCACAATGCCTTCTGAAGCTTGCCTGCATGTGCAAAATTAGGATTATATCTATAATGGTGCAATTATTAATAAAAAACAATAATTATATTATTGCTACCTCAGCCTCCCTTCTAGAACATCCTCTTCTTTCTGCCTCCGCAATCCCACAAAAATTTACTTTTAACATGTTGAAAGCAACAGATAAGAGAGAAACAAAACCTCAGGTCCAACTATAAAGAGAAAAGGAAGGAAGGAAGAGGGAAGGCAACAAGTTAATAATTGTTCAGAATCTGAAGTCTACAGTAAAGAGGGAAATAGTTTTGTTCTGTTAAACAAACACCTTACTAATGACAGGGTCTCCTGCCCATTTCCCACAATCCTCCGGATAACTAAAAAGAAAAAAATGGATCTGTAGGTTCAGCCTGTGCCTTACATAAAGTAGATTCTGATGAAAATTACTTGGAGGGGGAAGGAAAAAGGAGAACTGACAGGGAAGTCAATTCAGAGAAGAAAATGTGTTTTTGGAAATTCTCCTCCCTAAAATTACACAGTACCTCATTTTGGAAACTCCAGAGAAATACTTCAGCAGTCCTGGAACAGAGTGAGACCCTTGGCATTGCCAGCTGACAATCTGCCCCAGCTGTGGCTGCAGTGCTGCAGAGCTGGCGAGGCCAGGAGCCCAGCAGCCCATCGGGGCCACATCTGAACTGGAAACAGTTTTCTACGGGGGAAACAGAAATTTCCAATGGAAGTTTTTGCTTTTGAAGGAATTAGGCGTCTTCCTGTAAATCTGTATGACTGCAAAGCAGCTTATCAATGAACCAGAGTGTGTTCAGCACAAGTCCCCCAGCACCAGAGCACTTGCCCCATGTGCAGGAGCTGAGGGAGATGGGCTTGTCCAGCTTGAGGAGATGGCTTTAGAAAAACAGCAGTCCCCCAGTGCTTGTGAGGATAACCAGCAAGGAGACAGAGGCATGTTCTTCACAGTGGTACATAGGGGGAGGGCAGCAAGCATAAGTTGCAAGCAGGGTTCAGGCTGAATTTGAGGAAAATATTTTTTCACAGTAAAAGCCAGGCAGGGGAATAGGATGTCCAAAGAGGTTATGCAATCTTCGTTCCTGGGGGTTTTCAACACCTGACCAGACAAACCTCAGAGCAACCTGGTCTGACCTTTTAGCTGACCCCATTTTGAGTAAAAGATTTCACATCAGGCTTTCTAAGGTGCCTTCTAACCTGAATGATCTTATGATCTTAAAACTCTCTGCCTGCTACACTATACACAGATTTAACAACTGAACCATTTGGAACAGATGAACTCATTCAGATACAAACCACACCATCCCCTTGCATCTCCTTTAAATTGTGTTAGAAATCATTCAGCTTATCATCATCATCAGTGCCCATCTATTTGCAGTTTGTGTGACTGGAGAGCTCATCAAGTAATTCTGTTATCTGACACTTGTTTATAAACCTTTCTACAGCATTTACAAATGCTGTGCAAACAGTGCACTAATGATAATGAATCAAGGCTCCTGGAACATCCAGACCACACCCTGCAGCCACCGATTCCCTGCAAGGCTTGGAGAGGCTCTATCCTATCCCTTTATCTGTTTTAGTTCTGTGTCTTTATGAATTGTATAACTGTGATACTGAGGGGCCTGTTTGCCCTCCAGCACAGTATCATGAAGCTTTATTATCATTACCTATCTAAAAGTTTTGACAAGCAAGCAGAGCAAATGCAGCAACCCCTTTTAGGTACTAATGCTTTTCTTCCTGTTAATGTCACACTTGTGAAATCTGTCAATATCAAACAAGCATATAGTATCTCATGAAAGACTGACAAGCTCTCAGTAGTCTTGTGATCAGCCTCTGAAATGTGAGGACGTTCAGCACACAACAATAAATGCACTGGTCCATATGGGTCCTGAGGTCATCAAAGTCCAACACAAAGTATATGAAGTCACTGCAAAGATTCAAATAAAACTTTACAGGTTTTGGAACAAGCAAACAGAGCAGGAACAGCAGATTGCGATGATTTTGGAGAGCTTTGTGATTTTCCCGTTTGGCAAAGAAAAATGTTAAGAATAGGAATCCAGAGAACAACAAATCTATAGGCTTCAAACTTTTCACTGTCCTATAACACAGCAACATCACACTCTTCAAAGTACTCATCTCTGCAACATCTCTGCAAGGTAAATACAGCACCTCTGTTTTACAGATCCGGAAGTGAGGCACTGGAAAACTAAGTGGTATGTTGAGAACTATACAATTAACAGAAAACTCAATCCAGGTCTCCCAAATCCCAGGCCATTATCTAGACCTGATACACATGGCTAACATATATCTTCTTACAAAAATTAAGGTGTTTTCATCCTCAGAACAGGTCTGCAAAGGTTATCTAAAACACTTAATCCTCTCTCAATTTACCAAGATTTCAATTTTTCAAAATTTAGACAAACATTTGACTGAAATGTAAGACAATAAGTGTTCAAACTAGATCAGTTTTGAACACTGTGAAGTGGGATTACCTTGGAAGTTTTTAATTGCATGTGCTTTCCCTACTTTTTTATTTCTATTTTTGTACAAGAATAAACCACTGGTGGTTGAAAAGATGCAAAGACTAGGGTCGTGGTGTCTAGAAACTACAAGATTAGACAAGTAAAATCTACCACAACACCTGCTGCTCTTCTAGATGCCCCACATACAGCACTTTTAGCAAGATTTACTGAGTCAAGAGATACCTAATTAGCACTTAGTCTGCATCTGACCTTCTGCATCTGACCCAGGTGCAGAAATGAATATGATAGCTGAAGTTTCAGTTTTCTAGCTTTCTGTTTTTGATGACAAAACTGTTCTTCTGTCAAGCAAGAGTTTAATGGAAGTTATTTTTTGAGCAGTCCCATTGCCAAGTACTCTCAAGGCCCATTAATTCACCCAGTAAGGGCATTTAGTGTCTCTTAAGTGCTCAATATTTTTGTACTTGACCCTCTGGGATCAACATAACATGATACTCAGAGGCAGAAAAGTAGTTCCAAGTAGCACAGAACCTAAAAGTGTTGATGCACATTCACTGGCAGATTTAACTGGGATGGATGAAGCATTCACCATTGCCAGCTGTTGCCTTTGTCCCTCTTTTGGAAGCTACCATCCCAGGGAGGCTTTAGCAGAACAAGTATCCCCTCTTGAGTCAGTAGGGTTTACAGCCTGAAGTCAGCAGGAGCTCACAGGAGGACAGCAGGCTCTCAGCCCCCTGGCCAGGGTGCAGGCACACATCACACCCCACCAGCCCATGGCAAGGCACAGGGTGGGGAGGGAAGGGAGCTGGAGCCGTTTCTGCTCCAGCTGCCTCTGACTGAACTCTCACCAAGCATGAGTCAACACCCAAAGCCGGTTAGTGGGCTGCCAGCGTACAGCTCTGCTGGTTTATAAAAAGGAATGACCCTATAAAAATAGTTAGAGCTCAAACCTTCAGCATGCACATCTGCTCTTTGAGACAGACTCTAAGGTCACTTTGAATCACAAAATGAAATACATGGCTAGTGAAATCCAAGAAAAATGACTGCTTTTCCCCTTGAGTCTGAACTTTTATCTGCTCATCTGAACATTTTGCAAAAAACAACAGAAAACCTATTACAAAGATTGCTGGTGCATGAAATGATTGAGAAATATTTGCAGTTTGAAAGCAGTTTCACTTCCTGCCTGATACCACAATGAAGCTTTTTAATAAAGTTAACATCACTGTTATTTGTTTTACATCTAAGTCCTTACTTTGTCTGTTTTATATTTCTTGAATACTTATGTTAAAAGGAAAAAAAACCACATCTCCTAAAGCCAGAAGTTCCTGAGTTTACGTTGTAAGTCACACTGCTGATAATGTAATAATGTTTCTAATAATAATACTTTATGCTTATACTGTAGGGCAGCTTTCATCCAAATACTTCAATGCATCCTACCAATTTTAGCTAAGCTACCTAAATATAAGCATACCATTTAACAGCTGGGCAGCTTGAAAGATTTTGTGACCCTCTTACTACAAGCATAGAGGCAGAAGAAGTATGTTATTGAGTCCTGAGTTAAAATACTCCAGGAACCATTAAACTATACAGCCTGTGCAACACCTATTCACAGTAGTTAAGCTCCAGAGCTGATAGAATACTAATTAAATTAATTTTGCGAATGCTTGTGTGCTGCTATTTGTAAGGTTGTGTTCCAATATGCAGACAAGCTGTTAGATAGTCATAAAATGTATTTGTAAGTCGTGAAAGTAATGAATTTCAGCATGAATAACTATCTAGAGACTGTCCTATGGAATAGAAAACATAACAAAATGCTATCATATGTCCCCTACTATTATTATTGGTTACTTAAAACGTTTCAGCTGCCCACTCAAAAAGCCACGTGAGCACTATTGTAATCTAGCAGGCTCTGTCTCTTTCTAGAAACTACTTGCACAGTGTCCAGAACAAAAAAGCTAAATTTGTTCATCACATTTTTAACCAGTACAGTTAAATACAAACTCAAATATCATTTTGACCCACAAAGGAGTTGCTATAGGGATGGCTGGCCAATTGTGCTTTTAGTTCCAAAGGAGACTCTCTGGTTTCTTTGACAGCCTCTTCCAAGGTGGCGTAATTGGCAGTAGCGGATAATGACCATTACCCCATTAAAAATCTCACAGCCAAACTTTGGTAACACAGTGACAACCCAGCCCATGCTCTGCACTGCCTCAAAGGTCATGATTCTTGCATCTTTTTCTGAAGCCATCTGGGGGCACCTGTTGGCTGCTGAACTTACTGGACTCCGGGCCAGTTTTGCAGAATGATGGACATTCTTATATAAATAAATAAATAATGTGACATATATGTTAAAAGTCTTTTTTTTTAAACCATTTTCTTCCTATATGGTGAGTTAGACGCGCATATTTAAACTAAAGGCTTTTATTTCTCTAGGGCTAAATGAGTTGCAGGACCCACACCAAAATATGACTATGGTTAGTGACAAATGCGGGAAATGCGCAGTAAGATAGGGTGTGAAGGGCAGGAAGCAAAGATGTATCTGGGTGATTCATGTGTGCCTCTGTCTTCCAAACAAGAAATTTATTGCCCAGGAACAATCCCAGAGTGAGCTGGTGAGAAACCATCATAATATGTAAATTCCTTCTGCCTAGGTAGACTTGTGTACTTTAGACCCTTCCAGTGCAGCACACTGGAAGGTTTATTCACCAGGACCTGAAACAACTGGAAATAGCAGAAATCCTAGAGAAAAGCTTTTTCTGATGTGAGGAGTTTTCCTTCCCCTTCAGGGAGTCATGACAGCAGTCTGAGGCTTTCACTGTTCTCTGTCTCAGCTCACACATTGCCCACTGCCCACCATGACACAGGGAAGGGCTGAACAGCCAGCAGACATGCAGGATTTGCAGCACAAGTTTCCAGGTGGGCACTGTCATTATGGGACCTGAAGAATCTCCAGTGCTTTGCAGTTCTGCTTTTATCCTTCCTTCTTTCTTTAAGCATGTTATTTCTTTTTTGTTTCCTGATCCTGACTATGCACTCAAACACACAGACATCATCAGGTCACCTGGGCTGGCAAGTGTCCCTCTGTGCATGCAGACTTGTGCACACACACACCTGGCAGGTCAACCATGTTTCAAGCAAGACACCAACAGCAGACAACAATTCAAGTGGAATATATGAAAGGAAATGTGGAAATTGGGGGACAACTTTTCCCTGTTTCAGCAGGAAAAACAGGGTCAATTCATAACAAGGGACAAGGTTTTATAATGATGGAATTATCACAGTATACTTTTCTCTGGTAATTCCCAGAATTTCTACTGTCTGTGTGAGGATATCTTCTATATCCTACACTTCATTCTTGCATTGCAGCCCACTAACCTTACTCTTTCCCAATACCTTCATATCCACCACAACAGCTTCTTATGGCTGTAAAATATCCATACAGACCTACATACCTGGAACATACAGAACATACAAATCTATATTCATTTTCAGGCATATAAAGGCAACACTCCAATTCCCTGAAGCTCCTGTATTCTTCAAATCCTCTTCTCTGCATTGCCCAAGATTTAGGGCAAGCCCTTGTGTCTCCTTTTAAAAACAGATAAAGGCACAAACTGCAGTGTTAAGAGTGCTGGGAATTGCATCTCTCCATACCTGTTTTCCACTACACCTGAGCACTCGTCAGTCAGGGTACTAGCTTCTCTTTGCTCCAGAGAGGTCAGGCTGTATTTCTTCATCCTGTTTGGCTAACATGTAATATATATATGCATCTATCATATGACGAATGATGGGCACTGTAATAAATTACAGGTTACACAATAAAACAAAACAATGACACCTATCATAGGAATAACAATTGATAAACGTGCTGTCTCCCTTTTTATTGAGCATTTCAGATTTTGTCTGGGTTTTACTGCACTGCAAGCAATATTTGCTTTGTGTTAGGTTACTCTTCTCTTTTATTCTCCTTTAAAAATCAATGGAGATTTGTTCTACAGTTACTGAATTTTTGTTCTTATCTTATATACTGCTCCACTATTCAACAAATACAGCAAGATTAACCAGCCAAGTGCAACTAAAGCAATCTTGGAAATAACAGGAATAAAGTGCCCCAACCCTTCCTTCAGTACACAAACAAAAAGCTAAACAGTACAAGCCAGCCAACATGAAAATCTCCAGCATTGTTCTCTTCTAGATCCTAATTTAAAAGGCAAAAAAATTGGATAATATGGGAGAGGGAAAAAAAAGGCATAGACAAGTACAGTTATAAGGACGAAAAGAAATTCTTATGTAGGGCATTGTATCAAATTTCCAAAGCCTTTTCTGGTGTATACCAAATACCTCCTCGTTGATTCAACTAACAGAGGCCATAGCAGTCTATTGATCCAGTTAGTATAGCTGTAAATTGTACTTGAGTGCACAGACACATATTAAACACATTTGGGAAAAAAATAAAGTAGTTTTTAGTATATCACCTCTCTCAACATGGCTGGAGCAATGCTGCCAATTGTACTGCAGTTTAATAAAAATTTCCTATGGAAATTAATTCCACATGCAGAAGGCTTACTGGTTAGTGCCAATGAGTCACTCATTTATCTGTTTTGCATTTATCGACTGTCAATGTCACAAAATAACCCCCACCTTCTCTTGTTATGAGACTGTGAATAGTAGCTCCTCATGTTTCCTCTATTCAGTAGTTTCCAATAACTGCCTTATGCTTCTCAAGAAAATTTTAGTGTACTCTGTCTTTTCATATAGGCCTCCTAACTAGGATCATTACACTTTTACCTAGTCTATTTTACTTCATACAAAGTTTGTGAGGCAATGAAATATTTATAGTAAAATTAGTAAGCTCCTAAATTATAGAGTATATTGTTAATATTTTCCTTATCAATCTGTTTCTTTGAAGATAAAAAGCAGTTGTTAGGTGAAGACATGTAAGCATCATTGCTAAAATGAGAGTGGATGTTGTGTATTTGCTTTCTCCATGTGATCTCATGTAATTCTGTGGGGCTGACTGAGCGTGTTAAGGTTATAGTTTGGTTTGAGATGGAGTTTTGCAAGGACAGCACTGTTAACCAAAGCTGGATCCTCTTACTCTGGATTTTATTCTACTTTATTCTACTTCAGCAAGATTTCACCTGGGAGATTTGCAGCTCAGAAACAGCCTGAAGTCATTGTCTCACATTAAGGAAGCATATCTAGGGAGACCAATTTCCCTTCTGTATTATCAGTGCTCTTCGTGTAAGTGATAATTATAGGTCAGGACCTGATTCTCAGCTTACCACAACAATCATGAAGCTATTAATGTCCACTGAATTTCTCCCAATACAATAGAGATTTCCAAACCCTGCAATCAGTTAAGATAAATATTACAATTTTGTAAATGACCTTCTGAGGATCTTGGTGACCATATGTTTGAATCCTAACATGCATACTGGACATAAACAGCACATTATTTTCAAACAAATTATGAAATTTGTTTTGCTAGCAGCAACATTTGGTAAAAAGTCCTTTAGTGAATGAATTTCTGCACTTAACAGAAAGCAAGAAAACAATTGTTTCCTGTAATTGGACAGTTTGATTAGAGGCAGGTGGTGTAGAGCTGAGAAAACTGGAGCCATGAAGCCAATTTTAACATCAAGTATGCTTCCTTTTCTTTAGGATCCAGAAGCATAACATGCAAATTGCTTCCCAAAAAAAAAAAAATCAGTTTCTATTTATTATCCCTTCTGGTACTCTATCCATAGTAGAAGTTTGCAGCTTGGAAAGAGTTGCATACTTGATGCTTATCATACACAAGGATACAGGTATGAAAAGAATAGAGACTTAAGAGAAAGAAAAAAAAAGAAAAAGGAAAAAGTGTTTAAGATTTCCTTGAAAGGGTAGGCAAGACATGTGGTGTTGTGGCAAGGGCCTTTTCTTGTAAACCCCAATTGAAACAATGCACCCTCGTTAATTATCAACTGTAGCTTTAGTATTTGTATTACCAGTACTCTGAGGAGTCCCAGTGATGAACCACTATTCTGGGCAGCATGCAAAGAAGCACCTTCAACAGAACTAAACTTAATTTGGCTCTTGCTGAAATTTCAGTGTGTATCAATCTCAATTACCACATAAGTAAATACAATAACCAGGTCTACTCACCCATCCTCAGCCCACATCAAGCCAGACACCATATCTACTCAAGAAGAAACTAAAGTCCTGCCATGGGATGGGAAAGAGCTGAGCATTTTATATACAGCTGATTTAAAGTACACAGCATACTGAACATTGAAGTGGGATAGAATTAGTTTTTTCTTCATAGCCCACTTCACACTGATCATTCATAAGAATATGGTTTAAACAACTGAAGGATAAAAGCCCCAGGGACAAATTTGCTGCTGGTGTAGACCAACATGTAACTTTGATCAGTATTTGGTGTAAGAAATAATTCTGAACAAAGAGAAGTTCCTCCTCAGAGGATGACAGCACACCAGGAGCTGCCAGTGCCACCAACCTCTCTGGAAGCCGGCTCCTCATGTGCTGAGGTGGGAGATGCTCATCACTCCCATTCTGCCATGGTACAGAGGACGTGACCTCATCCCACCCGCTCCGACCGAGAGCGCGCTGCACATCTTGACAGCAGGCGAGAACAGGAAAAAGGCCCCGAGCTGGGCCCGCTGCGTGGGAGGAGGAAGCCGCCTTGGTTAGTGTCACCCAGCGCCACTGCGAGCGCCTGCACACTCCCACTCCAACCACCTGCATCCTACAGCGAGCTACACCTCTCATCTGGACTGAGAAGCTGTGTGAGCTCAAATTTACCACCCCAGTGCTGCCGGGAAGGGGGAGGCCTGTGCAAATGGTGGCACTAAACCACTGAGCGTGGTGAGCAATGTGGTGGCAGGAAGGAGCTTCTCAAGTGCAAGGCAAAACTTGCAAGGGCCACTCCCAGGCTTGTGAGCCTTCCCTGTCACACTGCTCACAGCTGGGCCCAATTCCCCCACCTCGCATGAGCGTGGGAGTGCCTTTGGGCAAAGCTTCATGCAGGAGCACTGTCTAGTGAGGTACCTTAGTGAAATGCACACAGATCAGGTCAGAAGCATCTGCAGTGTGATCACAGGGAGGGCTGACACCTGTGCAGAATACAGCGGGATGACTTAGAACATGTGACAGGGTAGAATAAACCAGCCCAGCTGGTGCTGGAATGAGAGACAACTAACACGCATGGATATGTTGGTACTATTACAACAGCAATATTTTCACAAGGAAGATAAGTACTGAACAATATCTTTACTGTACCAGGCACAAACTTAGCTTCAATCAACATCAGCCATGCATGACCTCTTCTCCGTCTATTCTTTCCCTCAACAAGGTATTTATTGCAGGCAACAGCAGGCATACTTGCAGTGTAAGTGACTTTTTGCATCAGTACTTGTACCTTTTAAATGAGGGTAACAGGCTGTATATTATATCCCAAACATTTACAAGTTAGGCTTAGCAACAACATAAGAGTTAGGGACAACAGAAATTCCAAGTGGTTGCTTAAAACCAGAAAAAATGCTCTTTGTTAAAGAAAATCACTAATTCTGAGAGACAGAAGTGAGGCTATATGAAATCCAGGAGTGTCTACATGTCTGTAACACACTGCACTAGTCAGTGCTAGTAACTTGTTAGCTCCAGTTCAAAATATCATCTGTGTTTTTCTTAGTTCTCCCAAAATTGTCCTTACTTTGCCATTAACTCTTCCAGAGCAGTCCAGCCAGGATCCAGAAAGATGATTGTCAAGCCAGGCATTGGTTCAGTAGTGACCAGACAAAAGGATTTGATATAATAGGAAGAGTCATTACCTGCAAGATGGGAAATTAAGCACTTTCTGACTTAAATCCTGGAGCTCATGCTTTCCTTAGCAAGACACCCACTAAGATGAGAGGAAAAGGAACTGTTCTGAACATAACACTCTGGATGCTGGTCTGGAAGAGGCTCCCTAAAACTAGAACCCCGCTCCTCAGCACTGAATAAGCTTGATCATCCTGTGTTACATTTATAATATCCACTTATTCCATAGGATTTGTAAATTTAATTTTAATCCCAATATCCATCCATCAAAATTCTTTCCATTTCCTCAGAGAAGCCAAAACAAAACAAATTCTCTTTGGCAGACACAGTATTTCACAGGCAATTGTGCTGACTATGGATAATCAAACCACTCTTTCACTGCGCTCTTCTTTTCCAGCCTCCTCCACGTGGATATTTCCTCTTTTCATACTACAGTATTTATCTAAATGGTGCAAAAGCCCAGGGATACACTGGGCAAAACTGGAATAAAGTTAACACAGGTTTTAAAGATGTTAGGTATTTAGCTCCCCTGGCATTAGGAACAGGACATCTCACAAAATCTGGTTGTTAGAGTGGGACTGGCACAAAACTGCATTGGTCTGTGCAGCTGGAGTCTGGTGGTCATTGTTTGAAAATGGTCTTTTATCACCAAAGCAGAGAGAAAGCAGGCACAAATCAGCTGGACATAACATCAACAGCTATGCTAGGGAGGAGGAATTCCTGTCCTTATTTTGTTAAATCTCCAGCAATTCCAGTCTAACTAGGCCTAGTCCAGGAGCAACTGCTACTGAGAAATGCAGTCTCCTCCCCAGCCTACGATTTTCCACTTCAGGCACAAGACACCTCTCTCAGTTCATCGTGTTGCAACAAATATTCTATAATATACACACTAATAACAATAAAAAGATTCTACAAAAACAAGCCCCTCCAAGAAACACTGGCTCTCCTGGGAGGAGAAGCTGAGAGAGCAAAGACACTTGACTGTTTTTTCTGAAGGTGCTCAGATACTCCAGCAGCGAGTGTGATGCAGAAACTCAAGTTACATAGAAAACACCCAGCTGACAAGACTCTGGTGTACTTGGATTCTCTCTAGGTCGTCACTGACATTGCACACTCTTGCCAGTCCTCCAGCACCTCCCAGTTTTCTCATGTTTTCCCAATTGTTTCAGAATTCAGAGAAACTGGTTTCCTAGGCATGGGTTATATCGACCTTGAGAAATTGAGTTTCCAGGCATTTCGATTTCATGATCACCTGTGCAGGTCTGATCCTGATCTTCTCTAGTAATTCTCTTTTCTCCCTTGGGAAATTTCTGCCATCTGTTCCCTTACTCTTCCCTGAAAATGGAGGCAAAAATATAGCTTTTAGCAACACCCTCAGTAAATGCGTTCACTTTCTCTCATAGGCCATACCATCCCTTTCAGTAGCCTGTCATTACAAATGCACTGCAAGCAAATACATTTAATTGTATTTTAAAGTGAGCAAAGGTTTCAATTACCAGTTTCATTCTTGCCCAGTGCATATATTTATTTCAAACACTTATGCATGTTTCCTTTCATTCACCATCTGTCTTATTTTATTTCCATTCATTCTTTCTGTTATGCATTGTCACCTAATGTAGAGCATTATAATGGAAGTCAGGTCTTCTAATTCAACTGCTTATCCCTGAAACTCATGGTGTGACCCTGTGTGTGTTATTAAGCCTTAATAAGCCTCATTTCCTATCTTTAAAAAGGATGTTGTCTGTTTGAACCATTACATTAAAATTGTTTAATTTAATCAGAGTAGAAATACTTTATAAATGTTAGGTACTATTTCCATTTCATGCCAATCATGCCACCCACATTAAACTCTTTTGTGTTACTTCTGGGCTCACACATATGTCAGAATCAACTCTCAGGCTCTGAGTCTGCAATGAACAGGTAAATTTCACTTTGTAGAGATCTGTCTTGCTCCTGAATAATTTTCCCTTCTCGGTAACTTTCCTCCAAAAATTATTTATCCTTCATGAAAACATGCAGAGAAACCTGTTAAAAAGAAACTGAATTTTTAAGCTGAACAACAGATAATGTAAATAATTTGGTCCCCTATTCTGCTGATTGCTCTCTTTTTTAGTAAGAGTATCTGACTGTATATGTCCACCTAAAGCATTTTCAACGCAATGGAATCAACACTGAAATGAGGAACAAGACCCTAGGAAAGATAATTTGGGGATGAACCCATGTATTTATTTGTGGCTCAGAGAGGTGCAGAAAGCCTGTAACACTCAAATAATGGTAATGAATTGAAAATTGTCACAGTGTGTTTTGCTTTGGTTTGTTTGGGGTTTTGTTCAAGTTTGGTTTTTTTAACTCCAGTATGATATAACTCAATACAGTTGGCAGAGATAGGTTACTCTTGTTTTAGTTTTGCCATGTCTCATTAATATTTAGCTTCCCAAATTCTAGTTTCTTTAGTAAAGCAAAAATATCTTTTCTACTCAGAGTAACTCAACAAAACCTCATTTGGTTACTGCCACTGGAAACTTTGCAGTCAAGCCCAGGTGGCCTTTTGTGCCTCAGGCAATAATTTGCTAACACCTCTTACATGTTGAGCCCCAACTACATTCCTGACATGCTCAAAACTCCTCTAAACATCATTTGCACATTACAACATTCAAGAAATATAGAATCAGATGCAAGGACAGCAAAGTATGTGTTGTACAATTTACTGGGATAGAAACATCTCAATCATTTGTCTTGCTTATAGGAGGTTATATCTGCTCTTCAGGGGTGGTAGCTCTAGCAGAGAGAATTGCCTATCAGTTGCTTTCTATTATAATGTCAGATAGTGTCTGCTCTGGGCACCTTCAGTAACACACATGGGTGGGAGACAGTTTATAAGTGGAAGAGTGTGGGGATTTTTGTAATTCCTTTGAAGTATGAAGGCTTGATCAATGGCTTGATCCTAGTCATTGAAAGGACTGGAGCAGAGTTGAGTGCCTATTTCATGTCTGATATTTCTCTCCTCTGACCAGATAAAAAGGAATAGGGAGAAAACACAGTCATGACACTTTACCTCAGTAAACCTGTAAGGCAAAATGACTCATATTTGGGCATTTAATGCTCCAGAGCAGGAGCAATCCAGGAAACTTTAAAGCTCTGAAAACTACGATGTTTTCTCTAAGATGTACTTCACCTCTTTTTTTTAGTGATTCCTGACTAGTTGTTACAAAGCTCATAGTTACCATATATACCTCCACAAGAATGTAGCTACTTTTCTGTCTTGGCCCCTTAAATATTTCCCCTCAGCCATGAGGGGAGTTTTTCTAAGATTCATGAGATTTTTCTAGGACTTTGTTTTCTAAAATTTTCCTTCTTCCTACAATATCAAAGAGCTCTACTTTTTAGGTCACCTGGTGTCTCAAGTGCTTACCACTAGTTTCCTCCTGTCTGATTGCCTAAACCTCCAGCAGAGATCTCTGCCCACTAACCACGACTAAAGAGCAAGTAGGGGCTGCTGAAGATCTGACACCTCAGCAACTATTTTATTTGTTCTCAAAGACTAAATGACTATCTTTCATTCATCACTGAAAGATAGTCATGCACATTTACCAGCCAAAAGAGTACTGCTACACAAATACAAGTGTTAGCATAACACAGATTGTTACATCTATTCAAGATGGATACCATTTCCCTGTTGTCTTCTGCAAGTCTTTGACTCCAGGCTTTAATTTTTCCTTCTTCCCTACAAGAGGATATTTCCCCTTGTGCTCTGTTTCACAGCAGTACAGCACTTCCCAACAGGTTATGGATTTATTTGGCAATGTCAGGCTCTTTTACATCTTTCCCACAAGTTCCTTACACCTAGAGCTCAGTCATCAGCCTGCTCCAACTTTCATTCCTCTGACTGCTCCATCTTCAGTCCATCTAGCTGGCTTCTACCTCCCATATGAGAAATGCTGAGTAGGATAGCTTGCTCGAACCTCTCACTTTTGAATTCATGCAGCTTTGGAGGCCTTGTCCCAAGGCATATCTCCCTGCAGTGAAATATCCACTTCTTTAGACTCACAGGTGGCAGACTCATCCCCCAGAAAAACAAAAAAAAAAAGGGAAAGGGCTTGTTTCACCTACAGACATTACAGGCTCAGCTGATACCCTGGTAGAGGAAGACATATAGAATATGTATTGCTGCCATAAATTGTAGGTAGTTAAAAGGAAAAAAAAACCTGTGGAGATATCTGAAATCTAATCTCAGACAGGCAGCAATCTAAAATAAACTACAGCTGGTGTTTCAGCTTTGATTCTGCTGCCACCAAAGGCAAATGGCACAATTCCCATTGATTCCAATTAAATCATAGACTAGGTCCTCTTCTTGCTCATCTTTCTTTTTTTTTATGCCTCTGTCTGCTTTTCAGTTGTAAATTTCCCTTGAATACTGCTCTTACGACCATAAAAAATTTCTGAGAGATCCATACAAGTTTTGGTACATGCAAAGTCTTCTTACATAGAAGTCTTGGATCATGCAAATCTTGGTACTATTTTTTTTAAGAAAATAGGGAAGATTTTTTATTCTCCTAATTAATGGCATAGAAGAAAAAGCAGCATGGTTTTGTGATAATGGTTTAGTTGGTTTCAGTTAGGGCTAGAATCTGTCCTAAAAACCAACATATCTTCTGTACATCTCCATACTTCAGAAAAAAACACTCTCTTATGACAGTAAATACATAAATACAAGACTGCAACTGTTAACCATTTTGCAGTGAGATGGGTGTTTAATCCTCTTGCATCTAGCTTGACCTTGTTATGCTTTATCTCAAAGCAGAACATGCACACACTTGTTTTTAGCCTGCACTTACACACGTGTAAGGAGGAAGCTGTGGTGCTGTACAACATCCCTGCATTGGTGCTGCCATTCTTGTTGCATTGCCACAAGTTATGCAGCTTTTTGCTTCTCCCACTGTTCTTACAAGGACAGCCAGAGGGTCTCCTGATTTCCACTTCAATGGTGACACAGAGCATGACACTGAATCTATGCTGTGGGCAGTTCAGCTGCCGCTGTTTTGAGACACTTGGGGGCAAAGTTTCAGGGTTGCCAGCTCCTGCATTTTGCTGGGCTCCTTGTCCTCTTTCCTGGAGGTCTGCCCTTGAAACTCTGGCCTTCATGGTTGCAGAGAAAAGCCTCAAAACACAGAGTCTTACAGTATTTTTAAGTGTGACTCATGACTTTTTGCCATGAAGGGCACATACGATTGCCTCCTTTCAACTTCCCTTTGTCTCTTTGCATGCAGCCGCACCTGCAGATGTTCAGGGAGGAGTGCCTGCACTCGACCACCCTAAAAGCAGCTTCTGTGTATGCAAAAGTCAGCACCCGCTTGCACAGGTGTCACTATTCCCAACGGGCGGGTGCAGAGGTTCTGCTTGATGGGGCTACATGTGTATAAGCAGCTGCCCCTTTGAGCAAACTAGTCTCTGAACATCACATTTTAGCAAAGTAGCACAGCTTTTTCCATGTGTTCCATCCACAGAACATTTTTTTAAGTAGTTTTAAAACGTTAGATATACAGATATCTATCTCGGACATTTTTTTCCACTTTCACTATCTGACCTTCGCAGTCATTTCACACAAAGCCCAGAGCTCAGTTAGCTGTTTCAAATGGCTGCTGCTCAGAGTGCTCAGCTCATAGAGGAAGAACTAGCCCAAACAAACACCGGGGCACAAGGGATTAGAAGTGCCCATCATCATTACCATCAGTCCTCCTCAGCTTTCTCCAGGATGTATGGCCCCAGTACCATAACCAATGTGGCTGGGATGCTGGCAGGCCAGTCAAGGAACAAGCCACTCTGCCCTGTATCCCCTCCTAAAAGAAAGTTCCCTCCTGACTTCACAGCATGCTAGGGTCATACAGCAACATAAAACCAAAAATCTTTGTAATTTAAATTAATCTTAAGACAAATTTGCAAAAGATATACCTACAAAAGTGTCAAAGAGCTCTGTCATTTTGCCTCAAAGACAGCAAAAGAGGTTTGATCCTTCTCCAAACCAAATGGCCAGAGCCCTGCCCCCCCAGCAGAATCCCATTCTGGGACTCTGCAGACCTTCTGCAAGCTGGCAACAAGTTTTCTATATCAGGCAGATCACTCGAAGCATCTTGCTGCTTTCAGAGCGCTAAGGAGGGAGCATGGACCTTCATTTCTGTTTAAACTCCCTGGATGATTTAATGAAGAAATGACACTAGGTGACCACTACACCATGGCAGCCCCAAGGGAATCTGCCCAGAAATGGCCTGAGACAGCTTCAGCACAAACTGCCCAAAGAAATCATCTCTCCAGATACCTTTAATAACAATGCCTGTGACTCAGAGAGCACTTAGCAGTGAGTGTGGAAGGTGGCTGAGCATCATTACCCCATTCAGATGGGGAAAACCAGACTCTCTGAGCTAAATGATTTGCCTGTAGCCCCACAGCACCTGGCAGACCTCAGAGCAGGAACTATGGCCATGGTGTGCTAATTCATGGCACAGAGCCAGCACATCCCACCTGCCTCAGAGGGGATACAGCCCACTTGCTCCTCTGCATGCATGAGGTGAGTGTAGTGTGACCCCACAAATACTTTTGCCTGGAGACAGGATGAAATATAAATTTAACTGCCTATTATTGCCATTAAATGTGCTCTACCAGACTAGTCCCACCATATCAGTATGGAATACATGAGTACAATGAAAAATAGAGTGTTAAAAATTAAAGTATAAGTGGCTGAATTCAGTAATGCCAATAGTTGCATTCAATAAAGTAACATGTTTGTGATTATGGAATTTTGCTAGAGACGTTCTGCAGATAACATCTTATTTGTACAATGAATGGTTAGGCTAATCAGTGCAAGGGTTTAAATAATCCTAAGTACATTAGCATAATCACTCATGAAGCACATGTAGTTTATAAATGAATTAACGCTACAAATTAAAGAAGAAATGTCTGCTTTTGAAAGCATCTGCCTTTTTTTTAAGGAGAAAAAAGGAAAGTTGCGCATTCTGATTTTCAAATGCTCTCCGAATGTGCAGAGTGGAAATGCCTGCTTGCACCCTCCCCTCCTCCTCAACAAGCTCTGCCCCCCAGGAAGATCCATGGGCAGCTCAGAGGAGGTAGAACTCTGTGCCTGGCTGAAGCTTTGCAGACCCCAGGAACTCTCATTAGTTCTAACTCAAGATTTTTTATGCTGTGTTAGGATTAAACTGTTTTAGGTTTCTGAAGTGCTTGTACCTTCCCAGACTTTAGAAAAGGTGTATTTTTATTAATCGGATTATTTTCCAGACCTGTTGAGTCTTCTGAAGTGAGCAGGATGAATTCTCACTCTGTTCTCCCTCATTCCTACTCCTCTTTTTCATGTATTAAGCAAAGGAGGATGACTTCACTTCTCCCTGAGGTGAGACATACCTGAGCCAACCTGACTTCCATTTCCCTTGGAGATGGGGAAGAAAAGTGCCTACCTGGCTGCTCTGCTGTCAGGAGTGATGCCACCTTAAGCCTATACTGAAGAAACCCCAGCTGGAAAGACCCTTTCCAGCCCCATATCACAGCCTCCATTGAACATGCAAAGGTGCACACATGATGGAGGTACAGATGCTCCCATTTCCTGGTATAGAAACTGAAGAGGTAGGATTCTTACAAAAAGTGACATAGGAAGGGGAGTAAGAAATGGTCACTGAGAATGAGAGACACAAAATAGGAATGAGGAGACAGAACCAAAGCAAGGTTCTTCTCAACAGAACTAGTAGTGAAATGGAGGAGTTCGTTGCCAAAGAATATTGTAAATAGTGCATGGTTTCAAGATGCAGTTACACAAATTAACAAGACAGATATCCATTTGAGTACCAGACGCAGACTTCAGTGGCTTAGGAAGGCAGGAAACACATACGGAAATATTCCTGCTTTTGCCCTGTATACCCTTCCCTAGGCATCAGATTGACCATTGTCAAAAGACAGAGCCAGACCAGCCATTTTATGTTCTTGTGGCTTTTTTACTCCAGACACAGGTGGAAGAACTGCATTTCCAAAAGACAAAGCACAGGGGAAAGTTTTGCCCCAAGGAGACAGGTTTGTTCCTTAGTCTCTTGCATCAGATCACTTGAACAAGCTCATTCACCTTCCTTAACACCCACCCCACCCACCCCACAAAACACAGCAGCAGTGGGAGTGTTGGGGCTATGGTAAACACCTCTCGTCCCCTCGTTCTCTACCCCAGCCTGCACACAGCCCTGACAGAGGACACCAACGGGCTCATGAATCCTCCTCATGCTGCAGTTTCATTGTGGGCAATTGTCAACTACTTGTGGCTAGAGTAAAACAATTAGTAAACACAATTCTCTTTTGGTTATACTACTACTCCTACTTTTTTCCCCTATGGAAAAAAATACTGTAAAGCATATTTAGCCCTTCACACACACCAAGTCTTCAAAGGTGAATTTGCTTATATTTTAGATGGATTTTTTTTTTTTTTTTAATCAACCTGACTGTCTGGGAACCCCTGGGAAGCAATAATCAGAAGCCTTGCACTAGATGTCCAACCTTCTGGCCAACTCCCTAGTAAATGTACTGCTATTTTCATCTCAGATTAAGGGCAGCCCAGCTACCTCTCACACTGAGAAGTATTAAAAATACTTCCCTCAGTTCTCAGAAAGAGAATTTTCTAAACTCTCAAACTAACTGAACTGAAAAAAAAGAAAAAAAAAAAAAAAAAAAAAAAAAAAAAAAAAAAAAAAAAAGAGGAAGCCTTAGCGTGAAGAGCTATTATTATGTCTTCTCACATTTTGCTGTAGCTAAAAGCATGAGTTGTATATATAACTAATGCACCACCCACCCAAGCAAAAATACTTGCTTGAAAAAAGTAAAGGCATGCCTGTCAGAACTCATCCTCTTCCATTCAGTCTCCATTGTATATTTTTGTTCCTGTGATAAATTAGCCCACTACTTCTCAGGTGATTCTGGCATTTTAAATTTGAAAACAGGACATGCTCAAATAAAATCATATAGTAGCTTCACTAGCAGTTTGAACTCACAGGGAGCTCAACAGTACTCTGCAAAGCAAAACTGAAATATGAAGGTAATGGGGTGAAAGTTTGAGGCCTGCCCTCCACTTGCACTCACTCACACGCATTAATGTTTCCATCCTGGCAGCTATAAACACTGTTTACCATCAAACACCTGCAACAGATTTCCAATACTCTCATGCTTGCAGTCTAGGTTTGCATGTAATCTGTTTTGTATGCTAGTATACCCTGAGACTGCCCTGGAGGGTTATGGTTTGTAGGTGGAGCTGCCTGGTCACATCTTTCTTTTGCCCTGTATCTTTTGCCTTTGTTAGTGGCCTCATTTCTGTCTTTCTCCTTCAAAATTCTAAATGTCCTTCTCAGTGTCAACAACGACTGAAATTCTTTTTTTCATTAAGCATAGCTAACATCTATATCAGCCTAAGCTGTAGTCATTTTCTGGTTACACAGGCAGACTTTCCAGCCAGTGAATAGGAACACAAAAAGATATAGAGGCACCTCTCAGTCAGTCAAATAGTGTCTTTGCACAAGCATCTTGCAATTTTAGCTCTAGAGCCAGGCTTACAAAGATAGAGAGGAAACCAAAGAGATTTTACTTTATCTTTTCATGAAAAGATGGCACAGTCTGGGACCAGCCATGCTTTTGAAAGGCAGTGGTGACAAATTCTTGGAATTTCCTTGAATTGTAAAACAATGTTAAGAATTTCTAGGCAAGACTCAAAATATTTAGCAACTTTACAGGTGGCTTTACAAAGATATTCCAGTAGATCTTGGACCTCTGCTGTATACCATTACTACTGTCAGGATAAAGAACAGGTCTTCTCACTAGTTCTGCCGCTTTCAGAATCTCAAAACATATTCAAGTTCACTCTAGTTGGCTCAGATCCTAGCTTTCACACAAAAGGAAATTATTATCCTGTAACATAATGTGCAGGAAAAACCCTCATGCCATGCATTATTCCTGGACTAGGTGACCTCCCCAGCCATCATGTGTTTCTCCATCACGCCCTTATGATACACCCTAATTCCTCCTTAACAACCCATGACAGAAACCTGGGTAGAGTGGGATGAGACCATGATTTCCATAATTTCTCAAGTAACTGTTCCTCCAGTATATCTGACATATAGGGCAATATTGCCTGGGCTCCAAGGGAGAGTTTTAATAAGTATCTAGACTGAGTTAGCAAAGGTGTACAATTTGGGAGCAGGATGCTCCAGCAAGCACCATTATGTACATATTTTACAACTTGTAGCTGAGGTCAGCATTAACATGTAGACATAAATAACTGCTTGCATGCAAGGACATAATAAGACATTCCAGAAGATCTCTTCTAAGATGAAGTATTTGAGTCTGCTCCCCAAGCACTGCAAGGTATAATTGCATTCAGGTATTCATGAAGTTCATGAAGTTCAAAGCCATTCCAAGGCTTTGCTGGGTCACAAGAACTGATGGATGTGATGATACAGTAGAATAAAATCCTGATGCAAGACTTGTGTACTGATTTGATCTGAAACCACAGACAGAGCTCTGCTCAATATGGAAGAAATCCCTAGGATTATTCCCTGAGTACAGTTTTGCCATACAGAGCCTATGTTTCCCAGGCTTGGGGTGCACAGAAAGGCCCATATACTACTGAGCCCTTCTGAAAAGTGGGGTATAGTTTTCCTGTGCTGGTTTTTCTGTTTGTTATAAGTTTAGGGCTTTTAAATCATGCTAATGTGTCTAGAGATTGCAATGGGAGTGTTTGAGAAATCCAAAAATAAAATAATGTAATGCAGCCAAATACTTAATTACCAACATGTGCATCTGTTGTCAAACCATACGCTAAGTGAGTGGCACTGCTCATTAGTTCTGCTTTCAGGAGCTACCAGGCGTTCGTGTCATCACTACCAAGAGTCTTCTGAGTCTGAATCATCCCCGGAAAGGACAGATTCTGTCACTCATGCAGTCGCTGTTAACAAGAATGCTGATGGCGTAGCAGGTGTTTCCTCCACTTCTCTAAACCTGGAAAGGTTCTGGCACAGCTTCCCTCCAATTTTCCCTCTTCAGAAAGGAAAAACAATCTTTCTCTCCTGGCTCACATGAGCAGGCAGGCATGTTCCAATAACTCAGGTATTGGATACAATTGCTTCTATTCACTCTGTTGCCTACAATACTGTGTGATTATCATGCTCTGCTAGGTCCTCAGGAAAGAATGCTGGTTTATCCAGTCCAATCCCTTTTCATGCAATAAAACTCCAGCCCAGTGAAACAGAAAGGGGTCTGTGACGCACAGCAGTAAAAAAGGTCCACTTACTATATAGCTGACCCATTAATTTGGTGGTGGGTTTGAAATGCTCTTCCAAAGCTGCTGACTGATAAGTCCTTTCAAACTTTTTAGGGCATCTGATATTCTGAAATGGACTTGGAAAACTTTCTGCGTTTTGTCCACATGCTTATGTCCACATGAAGCAAATGCCAGCTGGGATCTAAAGAAAAGAGCAGAGCATTACTACCAGGAAAACAACACCAAAGAAAGGATAGAAAGGATCTGAGCAATCCCAAATATGGGTCGTAGCCTGATAAGACCTTACAGTAAAAGTTCTACAGAACTGTCTGCTTCAGTAGACACTGAATGTTCTGGTTTGCTCTTGCAGTACTGAGGGTCTAGGGCTGACACTCCTCTCTAGAGATTGCCCAGGAATGGGGCTGATCCCCATGGCTCATGTGGTCAGTGTGGTTTAAGGTAGGCTGTAGAAGGGGACTGCTTGCCTCACACCTCACTCTGGTTACTCTCCTTTGGCAGCTATCCACCTGTCCTGGTGTGCAAGAGCTGGTCCAGCCCACGCTGAGGTTGCAGCAGAGAATCAAAATAGCTGGGCTTCATCCCAGATACAGCTTTGCTAAATTCCAGCTACCTCCCAGCCCAGATCCCCTCAGTTCTGCCCCTTTCTCTAAACCAGAAAGGCACAACTGAGGTCTCTTCCCTCACTCTTGAAATGACTTGTGGCCTTTCAAAAAGGGTTCTTTATAAATGAGAAACTCAGCAGTTAGCCAGCACTGAATGTGGCCAAGCCCAGGCTCAGGTAGTGGCATTTGCATGGGCACAGCAATTTGAGGTTGTCCCCAGGTTGCTGGTACAGAGCTGGAGAGGGCAGGAATTCCCCTTCCTTCCTGTGCCCCACTTTTCTGTGGAGCAAAACAGCCAAACCGAATCCTTCTCTTTTTTCAAACAGCTGAAGATGGCCCAAGCACTCCTTTCCACTCATAATAAAATACACATTTTCTTTTTAGTACAGTGCCTTCCAAGAGCTAAAGTTCAAACTGGAATATTGAAACACACAGCTTAAATCACCAGTAGGACACCTCCAGTGCTGACACTGATGTACCCAGCTTGGAGCTGTTCAGGGCTTGGACAGTACTGGCTCTCTGTGCTCCAGAATTCCCCTCTGCAAACTTTCCTGTCCCTGCCAGCTGCAGCAACCAACACTGCCTACAGCAAATGTGTCACATATAGGTAGGTCACTAAATATCATGCCCAAATGCAACACAGGACCAGATGCCATTAAGAAAAAAAAAAAATCATGTTGATGTAAGCACTATGCTTTTACTTCCCCAAGTCTGACAGGCCTCCTACACAGCCAGCAGCAAGTAGCTATTTCCCTTGTAATATCATCAACTTCCAGTAATGTTCACTTGCCTGTTTTTAATACCCTCCACAGCCCTTCCTACTACCCTGTGATAAATCCCTTCCCTTTTACCATTTCATAACTGTCCAGATCTTTTCCTCTCTTCTTTCTGTTAGCATTTTCAAAGCTTATCTAGGGCTCAACAGACTTTTTTTCCCCTTCTTGGTGGTGGAGGGAGGAGGAGGGGGGACCTGCTGTTTAGCTGGCTTTGGCAAGCCTGGGCAGCTCTAGCTGAACTCCCCAGCCCTCTGCCAAGAACAGTCTAAATAGGAGCACCAGAAACATCTTTTAATGTCATTTGTATTAATATTTTTGGAATTAGGCAGACTTGAAATTGCTTTAAAAACATTAAAAAACAGAGGGAAAGGGTTGGCAAGCATGTGAAGCTCAAACTGTATCACACACAGTACTGTCATAACAAAGTGGGTATAACACGAGTGTCTAAGCCATTTGTATCAAAGGACTATTTTTCCATCACTTTATTTAACAAAGATGTTCTTAAACCAAGACTCTCAGGTTTTGAACAGAAGAAACCATTCCTGTCTTTGCTCATCCTAAGCAACATACAATAACAGTTCAATGTATGGCATGCTTTTGAGAAGAAGAAGACCCTCAAGGTGTATCTAAAAAGGAAAAAAGGTAGAGAAGGGTGAAAAGGACCTTTGTGCCTTTGCCTCTCCAGCTCCTTTCCTTAGTCACATGTTCTTCATGCCAGAGAAGCAGGCTGAGCCTCAGAAAGGCCCCTTGGCTTGCTACCTGCTCTCATGCTCAGGCCCTAACAGTTCCTTAGAATTTCACTCTGTCTGCCTTAACCTTTCTTCTGTGATCATCAGAGATTTCCTCTGTACTCACTGGACCACCAGCTTTAACATCTTACATGATCAGACAAAGGATCACTCAACCAGGATTTTCAAGGAGAGTTAAAGCCAGACGGACTCCTGGCACCTTCCCTCCTTCTCAGTCTTTGGCTTCAGAGGGGTAGAGACAACACTAAGGGATAGATTCAAAAGATCATCTTGAGAGAAGCACAGTCAAGGTTTTAGGCTGGTTTTCTGATGTCCAAAGCAAATACAAATTAGGCCACGAAAATTTCAGGTATAAAGGAACTGGAGATACTTCTCCAGTGGGAGAAGTGGGTCTGGACAGGGAGAGGGGTTGTTAAGCCTTGGACCTTGGGCACTGCATAGTTCACAGCATAATGCCACCTTCCTCTTCTTTTACCCACACACAATGCAGCACAAAGGCTTCACACAGTGCTGCAAGGATGTCACATAAGTACCCCAGTGAGACAAAGCAGATGCCCTCAGTAACAGCAGTCTGCCACTGGCTATCCTCAGCTTGGGTTTGTGTCTCCATCATGACCTCAATGCCTGAACTGCAGAATGGATACAGCCAGCAGGTCTACTTTGGGACAGTATCCACAGCAACTTGCAACCACACATGAAAAGCCTTCCTACAATAACAAAACATAGGTTTAGAAGCATGAAAGAAAGCAAAATAATCTGTAGGAGTAATCTAGATATGTATGCACACTTTAGGAGGGAAAAAAGATAAGAATCTTTCAGGTGAATTAGAGGGCATGCACTTGCATAGGAATAATGCTTCTTGAGTCTACAATAATTTTGTGATTAACATCTGCTTTCTTGGCCAAGGAATGCTGGTTTCTATTTTTCCATAGCCCAACCCTTGTTCCTAGCTTCTAGACGGGTTTTTGCATTTCAGTTGTCTCAGTAGGAGAAATCATACTCATTCCAACTCAGTTTGCATTTAATAAATTTCTCAGGCTCTTATTTGTCCCCTTAAATTTATTCTCTCATTTAAAAAATACAAGGAATTAAAAATTGCTAGAATTCTGCTTGACTTCTGATCATCTCTATCTCCTTTCTGAAGAGAACCTTTCTAAGGAGCTAGAGAGACTAAAAATTTTCCTTTTTTTTTTCTTTGCATCAAGGTGAGCACCTTTGTCCTAAAGAGAAACAAAAACTGCTATATAACAAGTGTCTTATTTGAAGGTTGGTTTGTGATAATGTAAAACTTGCCTTTGGCTCTATGACAAAAGGCAGCCCAGTCCTGGAGATCAGTTAAGTATGTGTCTCATTTACAAGTGTGACCTGATAATCTGCAGTACTGAAAAGCTTTTCTTTCTAGGAAGACAAGAAGATTGTACACTCAGACTTCTCATACTTCATGGGAACTGGGAGAGCTTAAACATGACTGACACAATTTGCACTTTCCCAGAAAGCAATGAGTTTTGTTTGGTTTTTTAATTTCTTTCTGCCATATGCTAAACGTGACTATCATTTTACATTATTATAATATTTTGAATTCGATTGACATGCTGTACATTGTTCCTTCTGTAAAACACAATATATGCAGGAAATTTGATAAAGTAATTTTATGTCTTCTATTCATTGCTACTACTTTTGCTTGCTGACAAATTAAATTCCAGTCATCTGAGTCAGCCTCTTATTTTAGATCATCATCCCATTCTCCACATTTTGTCAAATAAATACACTTGTACGTGTAACTACACATAGAAACCTACAAACTATCTACATGACACTCACTTTGCAAATTAGAAGAAATTAGTTCTTCTAGAGTAAGTTACTTTAGGTTTCACAATCACTTTCCATCCCACTTTTCAAAGCTATACCATTACCAAACTTCTATGGCCTTCTGCATACAGAAGGTATTTTATTAGCTGAGACCCACTTCCTTGCTTCAAAGTTATTACAGCCAAAGAGCCTGGCTACAAGTGGGAAGTGACAGCTCAGAGAATTGCCCTGTGAATGCATCCACATGATGGTCTGTACCAGCACAAGTGTGTTTCTGTGTGTACTGAGGCAGGGCACTGACCCTTTTACTCTTCACACACCATCCAACCAAGCAGTCAGCCTGCACTTCCCACCATGCCCAAGGACTGCACAGCTCCCTCTGCTCACTAAGCAGCCAGTGATGGCCCGGGTGATCTGACCTGCTCCAGAAGGCAGCTCAGATCCTGGCAGTGCTGCTCTGAGACAAACAAATAAAACAAAAACCCAAGCCAAGAATTCCAGGAAGGCATGAAGGAACAGTGGGATGCGGCCAAGAGTCAGAGGCATATGGGCTACTGCACTAGGCAACCAAAGAGGGCCAGGGCATGGGCCCAAGCACTGGCACAGCATCACCCACTGCTCGACTGTCAGTGCTGTCCTTGGCACAGACTTGTTCCAGGCAACCAGCTCTCCCTCACACAATGCCTGGACACTTCAAGCAATAACCAAGGACCATTCCCAATACGCAATTTGGATGGGCCACCTTGTTAGGGTGGGAGAGGAAAAGAATTTATGTTCAAAAGCAGTGACACTCCAGCTGGCCTTGTGGCTAGTGAGTAGTTCCCAGGCCTATTTTATTCACTAATGTAGAAGCAATCTTGAATACCACAATTCATTCAGCACAGAGAACTTGCCAGGATGGGAACTGCCTCTTACTAGGACTGCCCCAACCACCCCAAAATAGCAAAATCAGCTTCTTTCTATTCTTTTGCTCCCTGAGACATTTCTGTAGAGTCTTATCTAATCTCCCCTCAGTCTTCATGCATTTTCTGGGCTGATTTTTAGTTGACCATAAAATTACATGACTGCATCTATTAGGCCAAAGCACTATTTCACCTTGATGTGGCCCTCGAACTGAAACTGTAGATTGCATCTCCAAGCAGCACTCTCCTACCTTACAAAGCCCTCCTCCTCTCTCATGGTCATTCTGCCTCTGAATCCAAGCTTCACCTATTGGATAAAGTACAAGCTGAGATCAGCAGAGGC